CGTTTTTGAACCCCTCTCATGTCAGTGAACCGCAAACCCCAAACCCCCAAAGCCGAACTTCCATCAAAGACCGAAGCAGGGTTTAGGGTTTAGGGATGTTTTAGGGTTTAGGGATTAGGGTTTAGGGTTTAGGGTTTAGGGTTTCGGCACTGAACCCCCTGAAGCGCAGGGTCCAAGTGCACACCTCGAGCGGTCAGACCCTGAACTCCTAGCCCTGCCTACAGTCTCCATTCTAGTTCCTTTTTTGGGTTCCCCTTTTTGGGACAAAACAATATATAACTGGTTCAGCCCCCCAAAAAAGGAACTAGAATGGAGACTATAGGCAAGCCATAATCATCGACACCCCTAACCATAGGCCCCTAAGTAGTTCCTTTTTGGTATTACCTGACAGCATTCTGAATATGAACCAAAAAAAGGAACTACTTAGGGGCCTATGGGTACCCATGAACCTCCAAGAAGCCATGGTCATGGACACCCCTAAGCCCTAAACCGCAAAACTCAGAATCCGAAATCCTGAAATCTTGGCTTTGGAGGACCCGCGTCTCCAAGAGCTAACAAAGGCTCGTGGCCAGTGAACTTCCATCAAAAAGGGGCTTGTTCAGGGTTTAGGGCTTAGGGTTCAGGGTTTAGGATCCCATCGTGTAGACTTCTAGGACGAACCCTAAACCCCTAAATCCTAAACCCCTGGAGCCCGAAGACCCTAAACCCTAAACTCCTAAATCCTAAACCCCCTGAACCCGAAGACCCGAAGGCTTTGTGGGGACATTGGAGTCAGGCTTCAGGGTGCGATCTTCCTCGCGAGAGTCGCCGAAAACTACTTCAGAGTTTGAAGTTTTAAGGTTTAGGGGTTCATAAGGTTTAGAGTCTCGGATTTAGGGCTTATAAGGTTTAGAGTTTAGAGTCTATGGTTTAGGGTTTATAAGGTTTAGAGTCTAGGGTTTAGGGTTTATAAGGTTTAGAGTCTAGGGTTTAGGGTTTAGGGTGGCTTCGGTTTTGTAATGGTGCAGAACCCTCCAATCCCAAATTTGCGAGCTTGGTGGCTGTTCCCAATTACGCGCTTGGCCTAGCATTCAAACCCTGAGGGCAGCGGGTTCAGGGCACACTAAAACCTAGAGCGTTTCTTTCTGAAAAGCTAAAGGTTCAGGGGTTAAAGAGTACCCTTATACCAAGCTGCGCCGGAGAATGCCCGGAAACTTAGCGAACCTATCCGCTGAGCTTGATCCCCAAATCATCCCTAAACTCCTAAACCCTTCCCTGACCCCACAAAGCATGTGTTTGCAGGTCATTCCCAGCACTTCTCTCACCCAAAGCCCTACATCCTGAACCTCAACCCCAAAACCACCCGCAGCCGAAAACCCTATGCATCTTGGAAGGCCAGATTTTATCCTCGGGGTGATGAGGGCTGGGACAAAGATTCCCATTCCCGGCCCTGAGTTGAGTACATTAGCTGAGCTCCTGACTGGGTGGTTTTTGGGGTTTTAGGGTTCAACCCTCCAGGTACCTACTACTGTATATAGAGGTTTAGGGCTCTATATAGTACCCTATATCGTAGGTACCTGGGGTTTTAGGTTTTAGGTTTAGCCTGTAGGTTTACGTCTCTCAGGCTCAGGCGCCCACCTTGAATCCTCAAACCTCAACCTACCCCTGAGCCCCGGGTTGGGGACACCAGCGTTGAGGCTTCGTTGGGTGTGGCGCAGCTCCTCATGTGGTCATGTTGGAATCTGTCGGCAGGCTCCGATTTCAAGATGCAGATCTTTGACAGGGCCGCAAACAGCGCTTTCGATTGTAGGGCCCCGGAAACCTAGGGTTTAGGTTTGCCTAAACCCCCAAACGTGGGTAAATAATGGCCCCGCACCTATTTTAGGCTATTGTTCCACATACTTCTGAGTTGCATTCAGCGCAAGGGGTTGAGGTTCAGAAAGGCTGGGAAGAGTTATTTGATCTGGCTTCGATCCGCCACGAGCGGGAAGAGAATTACGGCTTTGGGGCTTTAGCCCTAAACCCTAAACCCTAAAACCCTTAGGGTTACTGTGAGCCCTCGGTCAGGGCTCGAATGTCTCACCTCCATGTTGCGTGGATCCGAGCTCTCCGCATCCAGGTGCTGTTTTCAGTGGTCCCCGCATTGCACATGCTTGCTTTGCTCGAAATGAAGTCGGGTTAGGGTTTTTAGGGTTTAGGATGAAGAGTTTAGGGTTTAGGGTTGGGTTCTCAAAGTCCCAACCCCGAATGCCCGCTCTCGAAATTCCTTTGCGTCTGCGGCATGTCGCACAGTGGCTAAGCTCAGCAATGGCCGAACATGTAGAATGAGGCGCCAACAAATAGAAACCCTAGAAGGGGTAAGAAAATGCGGCGCTCAAATGCCGGACTCGTTGAAGATTTTGGCTTTGTGGTACTGCGCATACAGGGAAAGGCCGAATATAGAATGACGTCTTGAGTTTTGAGTCTACATTCCGAGTAGGCCGCGTGACACCCCCTCTACGAGCATGGATTTGGAAGCAATGTGCAGGTGGAGCCGCAGCAATTTGCTAGGGTTTGCTGCCTCTCAACATGACACACACGCTCTCCCTAGGCTTTCGGGTTTAGGACTCTGTGTCGGACGAAAGAGTCTTTTGAAACCCTGAGAGCCTGAATGAACCCTTCTTTTCTGAACTTGCAGTCTGCACAACGATAAACAACACAGAGTTTCAGAGGCATTGTGTAACAGGGGAAGTGCTGCCATGATAGTTCGAAGTGATGTGAATTCTCTTCGTGTTGCCCTTCACACCGTTGCTACAGCCCTGAATCCCATACCTCGAATAGGATGCTCCAGACCTAAACTCTAGACTCTAAACCCTCACACCCTAAACTCCAAACCCTAAACCCTTAAGCTCGTACAACCTATAAACCTTAAACTGCTGACCGCCCTAAACCCTATACTCTACAACCTCATGCATAGGCCAAGCCATGGCCAGATAAGCCCTGCACTGTAGCAAAGTATGACCAGACTATGACCATACTATGCCGTACAGCACTGATGAGAAGAAGCTAAGCCCTAAACCCTAGACCCCATCTGTCATACGTACGAGCGAGCTGGGCCATGCCTCTCGCGAAGCAGAAGCCCCGAGGCACGCGGACTCGTAAGAGGTTTATTTAATAGAGCAAATTTAATGTAACATAACATATGATACATAACAATGTACTCCAATAGAATAGAGTCTAGAATATAGCATAATGTAAGATAGAGCTGGAGGGTTATAAGGGCTTTCGGATCTAGACATCACGAGTTCGGGTTTGCGGCTCTGCAGCGAGGCGTTAGGGGATCTAGGGCCCTAAACCCTAAACCCTAAACCGTAGAGCCTTTTTGTGGGGTTTAGGCTCTTAGGGTCTTAGTGCTTTGGGAGACCGAGTCCGAGCCCTTAGGGTTTTTAGGGTTTACCTACAGTCTCCATTGTAGTTCCTTTTTGGGGTTACCTTTTAGGATCCAGGGTTTGGTTTTATGTTGGACTGCCGTGTTGACTCGGAAGGGGTATCCAGAGGCGATCAGACGGCGGCGGTTGAAGGATTCAAGTCTTAGGGTTCTAAACAAAGGTGAATGAGCCCTGAGATTTGAATGCTTAGTTGCGAGCTCGACTCTTTAGGGTACTAGCTGCAGTTGAGAGCCCTCTGGGATGTAGGGTTGAGGGTTTAAGAGCTATGTTTGGGGCCATGGGGTTTTTGGAACTTGTTGTTTTGAAAGGGGGTGAGGGGGCAGGTCTTGCTGCTGAGAGTCGTGAGGTGTCGAATGTCAGCTGACATTCGAGGAAAAGGCCTCCTGAAGCTCACGAGCTCTTGAAGTCTTCAGCCCATGCTGCTGTTGGCTTGAAGTGCAAACAGCATAGTTTCTTTCCGGAAATCACGGTTCCCTCTTCGGATCTTAGCGGAAATCCTTCGAGTCTGTAACCTATCTGACCGAAGCCATGAATCCCATGCACGTTGTTGTCTTCGGCTTGGCTCAGTTTGGTTTGCGTCGTTTGGGTTTGAAGCTTCAGCTGAGACCAGTTCTAAACACCGTCCTACACCGCCCTACTCCCCCAGAGCCTTGCCTAGATTCTCCGACGTAGGTGTCTGGAGGTTTGTTATAGTGTTTGTGGACAACAACTATGCTACAGCTATGCTACCCGCAGCAGAGCTGCATAGGAGGCTTACCCTAACCCCTCCACCTCTTGAACCCGAAATCCCGAAATCCTACACAGATCTGCCTGAAGCCGTGAAGCCTTGCTGTCCCTGAACTCCCTCAACCTCTCCTTCGCCAGTTCGTAAGACTCGCTCCCCTTCGGCGTCCAGCAGGCCCGACCGGGAAGACCCTGCTCTAGCTGCTAGTTACTCAGTACTCAGTTTCGGTATGTGGGAGACGTACTCCTTGGTGCTGATAAGCTACATTTCTACGAGTACCCACCACAAAACGGCTCACCGAAACCGCCACCACCCACCGGACCACCACCACCACCCACCGGACCACAACCACCACCACCACCACCACCACCACCCGGACCACCACCACCACCACCACCACCACCACCAGAACCACGACCATAGCACTAGCACAAGAGCCAGCACCAGCGCCAGCACCAGCACTAGCACCAGCACCAGCACCACATCAGCACCACCGTCATCACCACCATCATCAGCATCTTAATCATCATCATCATCATCACCATCATCGTCATCATCATCATCATCAACATCATCATCATCATCATGAGCATCTTCATCATCATCATCATCGTCGTCGTCGTCGTCATCATTTAATTCTGACGCTACGCAGCCGGCCTCGGCTCGACAGTGCAGCAGCCCGGGGGAGGGGGGGGCTGGTGCGGGAGGGGAGGAGGGGTGGGGGGGCGGGGGGGGGCACGGGCGGAGAGGGGTGTTCGTGCAGGGGCCGTGACTGGCACACGATAAAGAAACTGTATCCAAGATGCTTCTCCCGAAGCGATGGGGCAGAGGTGGGATGGGCAGGGGCCTGCATTGGACACTGTGGCGCTTCATTTCCTGGGGATCACTGCTGCATGTGCTGGCCGCTGTCTTGAGACACGCACCGTCCCAAACTCTCCAAGCCATACCGCTGCAACAGCAGCGCCTTCTGCATTTGGCCTTGGCTGGTCGTCCACAGCACAGCAAAGCAGTTGCAGCTCATTGGAAAGTGCTGACCACGTCATCACCCAGGTGCTCCGGCTGTAGAAGGAAACCCCAACGATCATCAATGGACTGTTGCCATGCCTTGTACAACCGCGCTCATTGAACGACAGCTGCAGCTGAATGTAGCACTGTGTCAGCCACCCTCGCAATCCCACCGGCCTCGTAGGATTGCAGGAATAGCAGTGCGGCCGCATTGGCACAGATTAGGAAAAGCATTGCCAGAACGATCACACTAGCCTGCACCAGTGAGACTTGCTGGTTCCAGCTGAGGAGGCAAGGTGCCATCACGATCGAAAGACTTGCATAGACTTGCCACAGCGGCACCATCTCTTCTACTAGAGTGGGGCATTAAACGGTACAGCAGAAGACCTTACGTGCACGCACTCCGTCCGAACTTCGCAGAAACCGCCACCCAGAGACAGCGAGACAAGTTTGGTGAAATGGGTCGACGCGCGATTGTGATATGAAGCTCGTGGACTCATGGGGTTCATGGAGCACTCTTCAAACACAACTTCGGCCCCAGACGCAGAGAACAGGCGGACTGGCTTTTCTGCGAGCACTGTCACTATCCACAGATAAGAGGCGACATTGCCCAACACTGCCAAGGCGCTCGCTTGTGATTGAGGGCATACTGGAGATGCTCCTTGCCTGCCGACGTCTGTTCAAGCAAGGTCCAACCGGAAACCCTCAACCCTAAACCCTCAAAGAGGCCCATGCCACTGAGCCTTGATCGGCCATGATGTTCAGGTTTTGAGGCGTGGCGCCTGTCAAAAGCAGCCAGTCACGAAGGGGTTGCAGCAACTAACACACATTTGCTGAGCACATCGAGCCGGCATGAGGCGGGGCAGGCATTTGCTCGGCCTTCCACACGGTTCAGTTCGGACATCTCAATTCCAACTTCCATGCCACCGACCTTCACCCACGATTGCCTACTTCAGGTTCGAAGTAAAACGCAGCAGCGTTTAGCGGGAAAAACCGAACCGATAGCGATCCATCTTAGTGCAGACTGGGCAGCGCTTTCCGGAGACACAGGGCTCGGTTTGTCCTCATCCATCGCTATTGCGGAGACCGGCCTGCGACAGTCTCGTGCAAAATTGGCAGTCGGACTCCGAACTCCGAGTCACGCTGAGACACAAAAACTGTGCCTGAATGTCCGAAGGAGCAAGCATGATAGGCGTCCAGAGAACAGGAGCCCCAGCAGCCAGAGTGGCAGGATGACCAGCGTCGGGAAGGAAACCACTTGAAGTTCACCAGACTGCAGGGTTCAGACCCTCTCTTGTGACTGCGAGTGTGGCGCGTCCCTGCACCTGGCAGGGGTCCATAACCGCCCGGGGCAGCACCAGCAGGCTGACGAGGAAAGCAGCCACGAAAAGCATGGCCGAAGCGACCTGGGCCCCCACAGATGGAACTCTCCGAATCCACAGCTCTTGCTCTGGCCCACCTCGAAGTAGAGGCCACGCAGTTTCGGCCAGCAGCACAGGCGTCTACGTGGCAGGATGGCCTCCTGTCACAGGGCTTGCAGATCCGAAGACATCCCGGACTTAGAGACCTAGAGTTTGCTCCTCCGGCCTGGCGAGCCACTGAGAACAAAACCGTAGCAACAGAGACAACCAACAGCAAAGCACCGTAAGCCGCGAAGAAGCCACACAGGATCTCTCCACTCTCGTACCTGACACCGACTGTCAGAATAAAGGATATTATGCAGTTATGACCTTGGCATGTCACAGCCAGGACACAAGGTCTGGATCGAGTTCTTGTACCAGTCGTACTCATGAGTGGTGTAGATGATGTGGCCCTCCAGTCCCGGCTCCATATGAAGAGGACGCTGCGGAACGTCACAAAGAAACATACTGTACCTTCGGACATTTTCAGGCACACTGCTATCAGACATCCCAACAGAGGCTTTCAGCAGAGAGGGAAGGCCAGGCCAACCTTGCACTACTCTGTGCTCTTGATTAGTAAAACACCTTATATTTCAAGGAATTTTTCCCGGATATTCAGAATTTCGGCTGTCCCCAAAAGACCCTACATATAAGCGAAAAATATGGAGAAAAAAAAAGGTTGCCCTGAAATTTTAACATGTTTTGGCTTGCCGACGTGTCCTGTTAAAAGGCATTCCTAGAGGACTCGGACTTACTACTCTACCCTTCTTAGAGGCTTACAACTTACTGCTTTACTGCAACTACACTCCTCTTACAGGCGTAAAACTTGCTACTTTACTGCAACCACAGCCCTCTTAAAAACTTACAACTTACTATCTGACTGCAACTACAGCTGCAACTACAACCCTCTGGAAAAGAACGGGCTTTACTAAGAGTTCCTAAACCTCAGCATTGCGGCACACTTTTCCTTGGTGCACTCTGGCTGTGGTCCGGTCTCTGGGCCTGCGTATTGCGGTCTGCTCAGAACGTTCCTGCACACTTAAAGTACACACTTTGTAGGTGTTCCTGCACGGCTGGAATGTTTAACACCCCGCCTTCGAAACTAGTGAATGTCTGTTCCAGACAAAGCTGGTTTCGACACTCCTCGCCGTTGAAAAAGAAACTGTCACACAAACTCTTTGTTCCTTTGCTGGTTCGCAGGCTTGCTGCAGTACAAAAAAAATTAAAAGTTGTTCCTGAAAACCGTTGAACTGAACTAGTGAATTACCTGGATCTTCGTCCTGTTGCCAGGCAAAACCACACCCTAGCGAGTGCGAGCGGATATTCCATCCTGCACCTGACTGTTCCGCTTCAGACTGACTTTCTTTGGCCTGACCAAAAGAGGTTTCACTTCTTTTCCTTTGCTTTGCTTTTCTTTTGGTCTTTACTTCCTTTGACCTTTGATCCTCTCTTTCCTTTCTTTTGCTCTTTTGCTGCTGCTTCTCCTTCACTGGAAGTTTGGGTCGTTGCTGCTTGAACTTCCTCCTGTGACCTGCTCTTCGTTTCCTTCTCGTTTTCCCTTTTTTTCATTATCCTTTGCTTGGGCCTTTCTTTCCTTTTCCTGCCTTGGCGCTCCTTTAGCTTCCATGGCCTTTCTTTCCTGGTCTTCGCAGGCTTTCTTGGCCTTTGGGTCCTTGTGCTGCTTCAACCACTTTCCTTGTTCCCTGTCGTAGTACCAGCACAAGCTATCGCAATTCCAATTCCACTGGTAAAATCCTTTTCCGAGTAGGTCGCGTAGAGGTTCCTGTCACCAGCGACCTCACCGAGGATAAAGTTCCTGTCTTCTTGTGGTCCTTTCTTGTATACTTCCTGATCTTCTTCTTCCTTGTCTGCCTTGATGCTGCTCTCCTTCTTTGCTGGTTGCTGTCTCTGCTCCTTTGTTGCTTGCTGCGTCTGCTCCTTTGTTGCTTCCTGTTTCGCTCTTGTTGCTTGCCAGCTCTTGCCTTAGCTCGGCAATCGTTTCCTTGTACTGTTTTGTTTTTCCCATCATCCTTTCCATCATCTTCTCAAGCTGCTCCATCCTTTCGTCATCCTTTGCTTGGCTCTTCTTCACTTCTGCCGCTGCTTTCCTGATGGCTTCCTTTTTTGCTGCGGCTTCTGCTTCCTTCTTCCTCTTCTCTTTCTGCTGCCGCTGCCTTCTTCTTCTCCTCCTCTGGTGCTGCCGCTGCTTTCTTCTTCTCCTCCTCTGCTTCTCTTCCTGTTCTTTCCCGCTTGCTTCCTTTGCAGCGCGCTAGTCGCTTCTGCCTTTCTTCTTCTTCCTTCATCATCTTCTCCTGCTCTCTCTTCTGCCTCTTCTCTTCCTCGAGCTTGCCCATTCGTTCCCAGTACGTGGCGTCCTCTTCGCCTCTGGGCACGAAGCCGGTCTTCTCCTCTTCTTCCATCTTCTCTTTCCTTCCTCTGCCTTTTCCTTTCTTCTCGTACTCGCCCTTGCCTTTTCCTTTATGGTGCTTGCACGAGTAGTCGTAGTCCCGCCAGGATTTCCTTGGTGAGGTGACTTTCTCCATATGCTGCCTCCTTCCGTGAAGTACCTTGAAAGGGTCTTCCTGAAATCCACTCACACGGAGCCATGCCAGTCCCTGAATGACGAAGATAACGATTGAGTGTCCAACTAGCATGCCGAAATGCTCACCTGAAAAAAGGCTGAGTATGAGCAACAATAATTCCTGCATTCTCCTCCGCACCTTTGAGTAGAGTCAAATCTTGCCTACGAAGGGTTTGGATAGCTCACTCAGCCATGCCATTGGTCTCCTCCTGTCCTGACACTGCGTCCCGAAGAACTGTTCCTAATCCTAACTAAGGATGACCTTTGCTTCTGAGTCACCTGCTTAAGCTTGATCATCGTTCCTTCGTAGTCAGCTTTCAAGTTGATTGTTCCATACGGCAGTTGAGTGCTCATGTAAGTAACTCCTTCAGCTAGATGCTCGATGAGATCTTTTCCTTTAGTTGCAGTAGGGATACAGACTGTATTCCTGCTCCAAGAATCAATGCACACAAGACTGACTGCTGCTGCAGCTTCATCATGGCTAGTTCCTGTGAAACAAAAGTCCATACAGGATGTAGGTCTCGATGATCGAAGACGTGGTGACTCCTTTCACACACACCGGGCACCAAGATGCGTACGGTAAGTGTGTAAGGTTGCGAACCGCGACTTCTTCAGGTTTGGGCTTCCTTTGGTCCTTGAGAGGCTCAGCAATAGCATGTTCCTGATACTTCTTTTGGGCTGTGCTAAGTTCATGCTGCCTTTCGGTCTCAATGACTGTCCTGCTCAATCTCCTGAAAATATCCTGCTCAGAACGGAATCTAGACACCAAACTCTGTGCAAAGTCCTTTGAGTGTCTTCAAGGTGTTCTGCTGATTGTACTCATGGCCGCTGTAGACAAACTAAAGTGCTCCTGCAAGCTCACACCTATGTTCGGGTGCTTGGGCCTGTTCTTGTTCCTGTTCATCTTCCTGTTCAGGAATCGTATGCAGTTGTTGTTGTTGTTGCTGTTGTTGTTGTACCTTCTGGGCCTTCTTGCCTTTAGGCTCTACTGGATAGATAAGCTCAAATCTACTCAGTCCTGTCCAAGATAGTCCTTCTCTGGAAGCTGGTCATGCTCATCTTCAATCCATGGTTGACCGTTCTCGAAGAAATCTCTGTTGATAGGTCTTCCTACTTGGCTTCAAGCTTGAGGTCTCAACTGGAATGTCCTTGGTATCAAGAGGATTGAACAATGCTTTCCTGGGTGAATGATGGTACCTGATAAGTTCAGTACCGTCATCGCTGATAGACCACGCGTCTTCAGTGCACTCTTCAAACATGCATCGGCCCCTGCTGTTCCTTAGGAGTTCCTATGAGGTTCAAGGGAAACTCCTTCGCTGACACTGAGGTCAAGATTTGGTACTCGCGACTACCATCATAGATAGCTCCAAACGGTTCCATTCATTGTTGCCCTCAATAAGAACTGCTCTGTACGGTCTCTCCGTGAAGTCCATCCAATGTGGCTTTCAGACACAATGTCCTTGAGGTTCTTGCACAAGTACATAGGTATCGGTTTTCCTGATGGACTCAGTGTCCACTGCTCTGACAAATGCTTTTGCTGTCAATGAGTTGTTGTTGTTGTAGCTGACTGCAATCCTTGTGCTTCCTTCGGTAAGAAATGTGCCTGTAGTAGTACCATTCCTGAACTCCCAACCTTCATGAGCTTTCCTACAGCCAACAAAGGGTGCACAACTGACGAGATCAAGAATACTTCTTCAACCTTCACCTTGTTTCATGAAACATCTTCAAATTCAACGTGAATGATCCTTTGGTTCTCGGGGGGCGGTCTTGGCCTTCTCTGGTGCTCTCCTTCCATACTTCTTCATCCAAAGTGGCGCCAACGAGATGCCTCCTCGGCCTTTGCCTCTACCCCTTTCCTTCTGCCTTTGCCATCGAAACCTTTGCCTGGATCCTTGCCTGTATCTTTCCCTTTGTACCCACATGCTTTGTAACCTTTCCCGGAAGACTTACCTTTCATGTAAGCTTGGTTCACATCCATTGCAGCAAGTCTTCCATGATCTTCACATTTATCAATCAAGTCAGTGTTGTCCTGTGTGGTGTTCAACTGTTCCTTGCTGTTGGGACAACGAGTTCGTCCATCTCTCTGTTGACTCATAGTTCACAAAATACTGACGAAGATTTGAGGACCTTGTCTTCTCATCAAGGTTGAGTAACAAGCGCCTTTTCACCTCAGGCCTCATTCCTTGAACAAGAGTCGAAACCTTTAAGTTATCCTGCACCTTTTCTCCTGTGGCCATCTCGTACTGCTCAATGCGTTCCTCACAATTCCTTTGTCCTTGGCGAACCTCTAGTTCAACATGTTGTGAAACAGTTCCAGCGATCT